TTTATAATTGATTCGGCTAAAAACGTGCTGCACACCACGTCGACTTTGTCAACCGTGTACACACGATCAGGAGTAATCTTTGTCTCTCACTTGCTCTCACCTGCACTCTTTCTCTCGCTCGCACTCTCTGTCCCGCATTCGTTCTCTCTCTCTTTCTATGAATAGCGACGTCGATCGAATTTGTCGTTGCACGTCACATTGTACGACGGACATTAATTACGTTAGGGTAAACTCGTCGTGTTCAGAATCAACCGAGCGTATCCCACATATTGCGATATCGGAACGGACTGATTAGCAGGCCACTCTGTGTATTGGCTCTTCCCCGCCCACCCTCTCACCCTTCTTCGGCTTGGCTCACCCTCCATCAGTGAAATCGTTGAAATCGTTGCCACTCGATAATTAACGACCACTTATGGATTTAGAGTGAGGTCAGTGTCACGTCGAGCTCGCTGAGCTCGTTATGTAAGAATAGTCTTTTCACACGAGAGCGCAATTGTACACACGGTATACGCATGTGCGTGTATGCGACTCTCTGTATAGGGTGTTCGGTTACAATGAAACAAGTTCATCGGTCGCGTTGATTTCGTGATGATCTCGTTATTTACGGTATGACGAGCCAGCGAAATTCGCGACAAGGAATTCCACTTTGCCTCCTCGTTTCGTAGCTTCGTTTCTTCGTTTTTTCGTTTCTTCCTTCAGCGATAGTGGATCCTATCAAGATTCGTCGATTAAGTACGTGATCAAAAGTAATAAGTTATATATTATGTATATACATACGCGAAACAGTGATTACCCGTGTGTTGATCACCTGATACGTAATCAGCCGTTCTTGTATCCGAGATAGGGAAACGATACGTCGACCGTGTTACTATGTCACCGGATTCAGAATGCTCTTTTCTGTCTAGCTCGCTGTATCGTGCAGTCCGCAACGTAATATGTGAACTGCTTGACCTTATTTCCGATTTATAGCTCATTTTTGTGCTCCAATAATCCTTTGGCTAGAGCCAGTTAGCGTAACTGGCTACTATAAGGATCACTTGCAAATAATGCTTGACACATCGCGCGTGGCCTTAATGTTGCTCTGCGAATGTAGATTTATAGCGAATCACTTGTCATATGCTATTGCACACCTTGATGATCCCTGGAAAAATAATCTGGCATTGGGAACTGGTTTAAGTGGCGCATGTGTTCGGTCGTTGATCAAAGTATCCAAAATAGCGGAAGAGTCACCTGTTCGAGTGGACCAAACGTTCTGCTCACTTTCAACCGGGTATAGGTACCGCGATGATCCGCCAACGTAACGAAAGCCACAGTGTTGCGCCATAGCTGAAAAGTGAAAAGACAAGATGAAAATGGGAGATGGAAAAAGCTAGAAAGAGAAATTTTGTGACTGAATGAGCTAAATTCGTTGCACGAGGCATATGATTTCGACTTGGGCTGATATCGTTGGCATTCGGCAGATTACCGAGAGCTCTCTTAGTGTCGTTAGCCGTAGCCAGAGTGAGGTCAGCAACGCCACGCCACTCAATAAATCAGCTCGGCTGCCGGTGCCAACGGAGATGCCTGAATTCTGCCACGTGATCCGTCAACAGAGAGTTCAACCGGTAATGCTCGGACTACCCCTCTTCTCACGGATATATTCACCAGTGGTGAAAATCGACGGGCGAGTTTCGATGGTCGCGTGCGCGACAGACAGATATCAACCGAGCGAAACTGACTAGCGACCCATTTTTCTTTCCTTTTCCACCCCGGGCCAATTGTGCGTCCCTCTTCCTCTCTTTTCCTTGCTTTTTTTGTTGTCTCGTGCTCGCGCAATTTTTTCCTTTTTTCTCCCTTTTTTCCTTTTTGCATTTATAACTGTGCAACGGGACCGTCGTTACCTTGACACTGCACGAAACAATTGTTTCACGTGTGTGCATCAGCCTGTACAGCGTGGACGCGACGAATTTTATCCACTTGACGTAGTTCCTTTTTTTCTCCTTTCATTTTTTCCCCTTTTTTCCACTTTTCTTCCATTTCCCTGTGTGCCGGGAACGTTGCGCTCATGATTTACGCGGCTCGCTCGTTTTAATCGAATCAGCGTGCATATCGTCGAGGGTAAACAGGAATCTTTGATCGAATTACGACTACGAAAATCGATACACGATTTATGATCGAACCAGGGCAGAGATTGATTTTAATGCCCGGTGGTAAAAAGATGGCGTAAGGGGATACAGAATTTCATTGGATCGTGAATGTACTTCAGACTATTTTACGTCGCTCGATTTACGGTAATTAATGAAACACTCGAAGGCAATATGTAATTCATTCGATTAGCGAGGAATATAATTTCTATCGCATACTGAATTACAGGATACACCACGATCCGGTATCAACCGTCACGTAACGAGGCGGAATATTTTAATAATAAACAGGAAAATACTCGGCCACCTATCACGTATCCTGTATGTAGGTGCTTCACACGTCTGCGCTGCTTTTTGGTAGATTTAAACATCAATACGAGACACGGCCGAACGATAATGCCCTTAATTAAATAAAACGTTGCCCGGTGCAGCGTGAAGATTTGCATTACATTTTTATCTCGTTCGATTAGCTTGGTTCATTTTCAAATACATGCCGGATAGATTAATTTCCAAGCGGTTTAAATTGCTCGTTAACCAGTGTAAAATTCACTATTCGCAGACCTGCAACATGAAACACTGAATCAAAATATTTCCCATTATTCTTATCTCTCTGTTCGTTATTTGTCTTACCTTTGTAAATTACTGCATTCCCTATTTCCTTCCCCTTCCTTTTCCTCTCGTACATTTGTTACGATTATTATGATATTTATGGCAGTTATTCCTTTCACGTAAATGTTTCCTTGCTGCACAGACGAAATGAAGAAAGCAAAAAGTTATAAGAGGTTCGTGTGCGCTCGCGAATCGATACGGAAAACGACAAAAGGGATGTGCATCGATGATGGACGAAACACGGTCGTGCACCTGCACGGCGAGTTGACCCAGTTCCTCTCGTTATAATTTGAACACGAAGGAAGGCGAATACTTTACTTTCAGATCCCTCGCTGTGTCTCGGATTAATCGGTTTTGTTGATCGCGCTGGAATTGAATTAAAAACCTCAACGTGAAACGTAATCAATATCTGCAATTTCATACTTCGAGAAAAGGAAAGAAAAACGTATGATTGAGTGGACGCGATTATATGGTTGTTTGACTTACAGCTTGCTTGTCCTACATCCCCGTCGAGTCGTGATAAGTTTATCGAATGAAATTTGGAAAAGAAACGAAAGAGAAAAAGAGGAGAGGCAGTTAGGTGCATGATGCAAAATCCGAAACGCAAAAAGCAGAAATAAGAGAAAGCGGAAACGCTTCGTAAAAGCAGTCATCCATTCGCCTATTAACGGTATTGGGGAAGGAAAATTAAGACGATTTCAAATTGGCGACTGCTTTATCATAGTGAACTGATAAAGAAAATAGTAATATCAGTTATTTCCGTATTTTTATCCTTTTCTTCCTCCCATTTTTTTCGTCCGGCTAAACTACAATTATTTTTATGCGGAAGCGATTACGGATAATATTAACCGCAATAAACGTTGCACGCCGGGATAATGGCGGCACTTATTCCCAAATCATCTGAATTACGCGTACCTTCGAAAGCTACGCGTGGAACGTGTCCGCCGAACGGAAAAGAGGGGAACTATGTAAATTGGCGAGAAATATTTACGTCTGAAAATAATCTTGCAGCGTGACCGAACGATAGCCGCTTTACCGCTGTATTTACACCACTGTAAATCTTTTTACTGCCACTGGTTCCTTCTCTCTTTTTTTTTTTCTCTTCAACACCGTCCACCGCCCTCTTTCTGCTGTGTCCTGTTTTCGCAGAAGTAAATTCACTTTATCGACTGGTACGAACTAACTAGACAAAACATGGACACCCACACCAAATACTTACTGTACCTTTCCGTCTCCGCATTCCACTCAACATACGAGCCAGTTGCTTATGTTAAACTATATCATTCGCGATATATTCATCCACTGAGAATTAATCGAGTTCCCGTTCGTCGATCGATATCGTTGCGTTCGCAAAATTCCATTTCGTAGTCGCACATAACCTAAAAATATTGCGAGAGGTATTTAATGTCGCTTCGCGTAAATAATATTTACAATTTAGCCTGCGTTACCTCGTTGGATTCTTTTGAATGTTTAAATGTTTCCCTTCCTTTCGCAACATATTTGCCATAGGGTCCAGGCAAAGATTATAGTTTCCATGTAGCAGTGATTTGAGAGAAGTGTCCACCAGTTTCTCGTCTTTCGGCGGGATTAACAAATCGGCGCGAAAAGAAAACGCGGAGACGGTAACTGAGAATATAAACAATGCTACCATGATACATGTTTACTTTCGAATAATTTTTGGACGACGGCCAGCATCGTTTCACGCTCAGCACGTCAATTTGGTACTGGCAAGCAGCCGAAATTTTCGTCAAACAGATGTCCGAATGACTGTTATTATCCGCTTGTTACAAACGAGAGCGGAGAATACTTAATCTTGGCGCTAGTGATGCCCGCCAAAAAAGAAACATTGTTGTCAAATATAATGGCCAACTCTTGATACGTTTGACTGATTTGAAATTGCGTTTCCCGCGTAAATGTTTAAGTCAAATGCAGGTTAATATTTATTTGGTAAATGATTTATCTCACACTATATACAGTCATTAAAATTCGACTTTCAACTTGTATACTTCAAATAGTTTATGCAGTCACTTCCGTTTTAGTTAAAACGAATAACATTACTAGTACGTTACTATTAACAAAGTTTAAATTCCATCGATTTTGAATACATGATGTGTCAATATAATTATCCACTCTACAATAGTGAACATATTTTTTTAATTTGTCACGCAAAAAATATTTCTTTTATCGTTGTTTATAAAATGTATCACATGGATAAATCGAAATGGCATAGGGACCAAGATAACGCATAGAAGCCAATTCATTTGAAATCATCTACTCGGTCAAATCGCATGTGCATATGAGTTCGCACATTAACGTCGCGACCGAGTATACGTGAACTGTGAGTAGTAGCTGAATTAGAGTCCGATCGTGTCAACACCGAAGGAATAGACGTGGCAACGTTGTACGAACGAGTTTAGTAGCCGGCTAGCCAAAGCGCGGAGTAGCCGACCGGTGGAACGTCCGCACGTCCGGGAACGACCTTCCTTTACTCGTCCCGTGTCGAGGAACCTCACCTCCCGGACTGCCAAACAGTTCTTTATCTTCTTTAAATCAAGAATTATTTATGCATATACGAACCTAAACCTAATACACATTTTCTGTTGTAGGACAGGATATAAAAAGATTTAAAAAATTTACTTCTCTGAGGTTTTTATATCAGTTTTCAAAAACTTCGATTTTCAACTTTTTTTCTTGTCATGGCGTCGTTTAAATAAAGTTATTACAGAATAACACAATGGTTAATTAAATGTTTGCACATTTTTTTAATTATTGACATATACGTGCGAGGTCATAAAAAATTTAGCAATTAATAAAAAGCAAGAATACCTATGTATCTTATACATGTATTACTAATCTCTAATCTTTTGTGTGTGTGT